TTCTCCAAGTCCCTCTGTCCCGCACTCAACTCTCTGACCTGTTAGTCAGTCTTCCTAACTCTGGCTGCAGACCCTTCCTCTGGGACCTGGTTTTTATCTCCCTGCTTCCCTCTCTTGATTTATACTAATTAGCAGCAGAGTTGGCTCCCCGCCTGATATTCTCACTGCTAAATCAAGATTTTGAACACATGAAACTTCATGGTGACAGAAAGCCCTAATAAACGAAGACAATAATAGACAACAGGCCCCAGTAATAAGGCAGCCTGAGGAACCATCTACAAAAGAAGCCAAACTCCCAAGATAAAAGGTAAGAACTAGAAAGGAGCATGGCCTGGGATTATAACAGTTTTGTTTTTTTAAAAAAACATTTCATGCATGTCCTTTTGTGCACTGAGTTGAAATCTGCAATGAGAAATAAGTTATTCAAAACAGGACAAGTATAATTTTTTTCACAATACATCTATCCTCTGCCAACCCCTCGAGGTCTCTCTAATAACTTCCAGTCTACATACAAAAAAAAAAAAAAGCTCAGTCTTCTGTTTTTATCTATAGCTTTGTGAAATTTAGATATAAGGTGTGGCTCTTCTTTACACTAAAAAGTGCCTGTAAATGTGCAGCTCAGTTGATATGTAATAGAGACTAAAAAAATAAATAAATAAAAGGCATTTTCTCCCTTTGTCTCCTTCACCATCCCTGCATGTTTGTGCATAATTTGTGTTTCCTCTTACCTCCCCTGCACCTCTGTGACCACATGTTCCTGACAGATAGAGAATATCCAGGTGGCCTGGTCCTTGGAAACTTGTCAGATGTTATTCAAAGCAATAAAGAACACATCATACAAGTCTTTGGTATATTGTTACAGGGAAACGCTGTTTAGACTTTACTAATTGGGAATTTGTGATAATTTGAGGAAGGGCTGGCTGAAGTTAACCTTTGTACTATCTATGGGGGAAAAAAAAGAGTTCACTGAAGTTCTGAATAGTGTAAACAAGATTGGAAAGGGCATAATTATCTACTTAAAAGAGCCAGTTGTTTTGAAAAGCTTTAGAAGTATCCTTTTACATACAAACAGGGTAATTATGATTTAAACAAAGGCTGGCCTGTTTCTAAGCCTTCTTTGAAATGTCAATTACAAATTACACTTGTTTATTCATCAAGGCAAAACCTAGCCCTGTGTACCAGGCAACAGTTGGTTAGCTGGCTTCCACATACTCTATTTGAAAATAATAAACCTAAAGTTCTTTTAAAGTAGTATAATTTAATTCAAGCTTCTCACTAATCTAGACAGGTGGCCCATCCTACAGTGTGGGTGAAGATTTACCAAGTCCTCGCATACGACAGTGGGGAATGCCCGGAGTGACAAGTGCCTTCACTAACTTAGTGGAAGAGTTAGCTGATACAGAAAATCTCCAAAGAAAGCCACTCCAGAGCGGTGGCTTTTATTTTGTATCTTAACCATAGTAAGAAACACATTTTGCATTGCAACTCAGTCCGCACACCCTGAAATCGAAACAATACTTACCTTTATTATGTACAATGCACTGTTATTTTCTATTTATTTTTTAATAAATGCCAGTTGCAACCGTCTAAATTGATTCCACAATCCATGCATGGGTTGCTGTTTTGGAAACACTGGGATCTGCGGGGAGATAGTTCTCCATCCTGAGAGAAAGGGGTGGGGCTGGGGAAGAGCTGTGGTTGCTCCTGGTTTCCTTGGCAGTGTCCTCTCTAGCTCTCCACTCACATCCTTGGCCACCAACCTCACTGCTTGAGTCACTACTGCCTCTTGTTCCTGGACACTGCAGAGCTCATTTCTACCCTCACCAGCTTCCAGCCAAGTTTCCAGTCCCCCCAGTTCCCACCCCCCCCTTTTCTTCAAAAGACCACCCTGAGTTTCCGCCTGATCTGTGGATAAGCTGGCCAAGCTCACCACGGCAGACGAAGTGAGCTGATGCTGTAAGGCCTCTCCACTCAACAGTGGGCACCCTCCCCAGCTTAACGGCTCCCATCTCTGATTCTTGGCCCCATTTTCCACTAACATCCTTCTCTGGTCTCTGGACTCAGCTTGGTATTTGTATCTCCCAAGCTCTTATCTAATTGCTCTCCATTAAGAACATGGATAACGTGTTATCATCACGGTAAAAACAACATCTTTGTGGCCAGACAAAACCCAAGACCCAGCTCCCCTACACTCACCAGCTGTGTGACCTTGGGTGGGTCATTTTATTTTCCTGAACCTCAGTTTAATAATCTATAAAATTGGGAAAATATCTATTTTGCAGGCTTGTGAAGGATAATAATCCTTATAAAATGCTTACTTCGGTGCCTGGCACATAACAAGCATTCTCTAAATGTTGCCTATTACCTGTATTATTGTTGCTGTTATTATTGGCTTCTCCCACCAAAACCACACCACTCCTGGAGGGCAGATACTGGTTCAGAGTTTGAGACTGCGCATCCTATAGACACAGTCCCCGTTCCCCATTCCCCACCCCATCTCCAAATACCTTCTGTGTGATACTCTTATTCTTCCCCATATCCATCTCAGTTAGACCCTTGCTTCCATTCCATAGTTCTCTGCATCGCAGTTTGTGACAAGAATTGTGATGCTTGATGTAAGCGGACAGGGGTCAGTTCTTATCATTTAGCTGCATGAAGGGACCACAGAGAGGAGGTGAGCCCAAGAATTCCACGCCTCCCCTCAAGCAAGCTACCCCAACAGGTTACAACCTTCTACCATGAAAACCAGAGGCAGCCTACTTTATCCCATGCAGCAAGGGGGAACTGACGAAGGGACTGTGTAGCAGCCAGGGACCCCATCCTGACAGCTCACCCCAGGCTCTGCGTACAAGCGACACCCGGCCACGACTAGTGTTTGCAGCCCTGGGTTCATGAACCATCTGCCACCTCACGGGTATTGTTCCTCGCTCAGTAATCCAGTTCCAACGAGCCTGGCTACGCTTTTGCTCTTCCCCTATGATGTCCTTGCCTTATTCCATTGATTCCATGATTTCTCTCTTTGGTTTTGGATGTCCTCCCACCTGTGTTTGGCCTCTGTTTTGCTTTAATGTACTCACAGATTATCCTAATCTCCTCACATCGATAGCCCCTGGTTTAACTCAATCCCGATTCCTTCTTCTACCCCCTGGCTATCTCCTACCCCCTCAATCTGTTCTAGCCCCATGGACAAGAAAAGTAGCAGTCTGTGATATGACTCTTCAGATAATAATGTCATTGGTTCATATTCTAGATCCATAAGCAAAACATTTGGGGCATGGGTCCTTGCTCTGTTATCTGGAAAATAGTCCTCACCCTCCTTTTCCTGGTGAGATTATATCTGCTTGGACATCATTATGGCTGTGTGAGAGGTGGTGAGTGACTTACCTTGAAATCAGGATCTTTCATCTTCAGAGAATAATGACTAAGATCATGGTAATTAAGAGCCCAAACTCTGAAGCCGGACATCATGGGTCTAAATCCTGTCCCTGCAACTTGCTATTATAGCTTGAGCTTGGGGTTTTTTGGGGGGGTTGGGGGGGGCCTTCTGCCTGAGAGAACAAAGTCAGGGAGAGTGACAAGGAGTAAGGGAAGTTCACAGAAAAGTTTGATGCTTGAGGTATCTCTTGAAGTCCTGCTTTTTGCTCCTGGCCTCAGACATGTTCCAATACTCAGGTAATCTGAACAGTCAGACAGACTCCACAAATAAGCTCAAAAATGTCACCCCATGTCCTGGATTCTAGTGGCCTAGTTCCAGTGGTCAGAGCTCCCACATTGCCCCCACCCCACCCAGTTCCCTGTGTTGCAATCAGTTAAGAAAGCTACTATTAGCAGGAGTAACCAAAGTCATAGCTTGTGGTCTCTCTGCCAGCGAGTCATGAAAGTCTTAGTCCTTATTATCAGGCTGCAGTCTTTATCATATTTGTAATACCTAAGTCCTTCCCCAAGACTTAAGCCCTTCTTTGAACTCTAGCCCTGTGACTACAGTCCCTTCTCCTTGCCAGCCAGCCCTCTTCTCTGGAATCGGGGCCTTCTTTTACATCCCAGCTGGGGTTCTGCTATCCATCTGGAGAAGGGTCTCCAGAATGGCCACCCATCTAGTAAGTCCTGCCTGAATACCCCATTGCTGGGCTTCCCACTTACCTGAAAAGCCCAACCCCATGTATGTCTAGATTGCGGCTAACTTTTGATAAAGACTCTGACCCAACTTTAGTCAGGCTCCTCTGAGCCCTCTTTAAGACCAGATCCCAACTTTGGTGTCTGGCCCAGTTTTAGCCAGAATCCTGCTAAGTGAGTTTATTGGGAGCACCCCCACCCTTGATATCTGATTAAGTTTTTCATCCTCTGTCTTTGATGTCTGAGTCCTTGGCTGCCTTTAGCAAGAATCCTGTTAGGTCAGTTTAACAGGAATCCCGCTTCCCTTGATGTCTCTCCTAGTAGTTTTCCATTTTACCCCTTACCCTGCTCCTTGGCTATCAATCACGACCCCTATTACAATAGTCTTTTTCTTTTTAAGGTATGGTTGATATACTTATTTTCTTTTATAGCACTTTGTGGCATCATTATTTTTTAACTCTTCAATCTTAACCTTATTGAGTTATAATCCCAACTTTATTGTATAAGTTTAAGGTGTACAACATGATGGTTTGATACACATACATATTGTGAAAGATTACCACAATAAGATTAGTTACCACATGCACCATCTCACATGACTGCCATTTTGTTGTGTGTGGTGAGAACATTTTAGGTTTACTCTTAGCAACTTTCAACTAAGTAATTGTAACAGCATTGTTAGCTAGAGTCACCAAGCTGTACATTAGATGACCCAAAACTTACTAATCTGACAGCTGAGAGTTTGGACACTTTGACCAATATTTCCTCATTTTCACCAGCCCCAGCCCCTGGCAACCACCATTGTATTCTCTGTTTATGTGAGTTTGGCTCGTTAGATTACACATATAAGTGAGATGATACAGTATTTGTCTTTATCTGACTTATTTAAAAATACGGAATGCTCTACCAATTTGTATGTCAGCCTTGCACAGGAACCACGCTAATCTTCTATTGTTCCAATTTTAGTATACGTACTGCCAAGGGGGGACTATAGTTGTCTTGAATAAAGTCTTCCCTACCATATTTAACAAGTGTCAGAGGCACCTGGGTGGCTCAGTTGGTTAAGCGTCTGCCTTCGGCTCAGGTCATGATCCCAGGGTCCTGGGATCGAGCCCCATGCCAGGCTCCCTGCTCAGGGGGGAGTCTGCTTCTCCCTCTCCCCTCTGGTGCTCTCTTCCTTTCTCTTTCTCTCTCAAATAAATAAAATCTAAAAACAAAAAACAAAGGGGCACCCGGGTGGCTCAGTCAGTTGGGCGTCTGCCTTCGGCTCAGGTCATGATCCCAAGCTCCTGGGATCAAGCCCCGCATTGGGCTCCCTGCTCAGTGGGGAGCCTGCTTCTCCCTCTCCTGCTCCCCTTGCTTGTGCTCTCTCTCTGTCAAATAAATAAATAAAATCTTTAAAAACAAATTTAAAAAACATAAACAAAACAAAACAAAAACAAAAAACAGGTGTCAGAATGATTTTTTCTTTAACATTTGCCATTACCTTTGGACAATAACCAGGTGGACAGCCCACAGCCCAGCCACCCTCTGGTCCATGCTCCCTTCCCTCCTTGCTCTACTCTGGGAATCAGGTATTTTTCCAGGCTCTTGAGTTCTTCCTCCTCACCAACTGTAGCTGACACATATGCAGCAATAAAGCTCAGAGAGAGTCACCAGAAAATACAGACCTGGAGAATATGGTCCATTCCATGCCAAGCAGTGTCACCTAATCCACTCAGTCAGTCAATCAAAACATACAAATAAATTTAAATGGTTTCTGAACATAAATATATTTTCAAAGAGCTTCCTTATTTGTATTACAGACATAAACAAAATACATACACTCAAGGAATAAAATATGTCTTGTGCTCTTTTGAATTAAAAAATCATAGTAGAAGCAGATCTTTGATGTTCCAATGGTGCCATAAACAAATTCACTGGCCTGTTTTTGGACAAAGAATTATCTGAAATTTTACCTCTTGGGTTTCAAGTATGTTTTTGTTGCTAGAGAGACTTTATTGTAAAAGCCTCCGCACCTACAGTTCTGGTGATTTTTTGTGTTTTATTCATCTCTTTCATCTGGCTCCAAGTAAGGTAAGGACTTGACAAAATTCAAAATTTACTGAATTTTGTATTAATGTCAGGTACACAATTTTCCTCTTGAATATCTGCCTTCATGTGGGTTACTGAAGTACTTTGAAGGAAATGGCGGGTCAACCATTCATTCGTTCTCATGGCTTTGCAGTGGAGGCAGGGCCTTTCCCTGATTTGGTAACTTCCCACATTCTTTTGCCTCTGAGCTAGTTTTCTCTTCTTAATACTAGCTGGTGATGGATGGTGTTCACTTTCACTCTCCTTCCACGAGGAGGCTCCTGAGTTAGATTCTTCACTGTCACACTCAGTAGTATCACTATCGTGTTGGATCTGATTCACCTGGCTGAACTGAGAATGGCGCCGGGCTCGTCTTTGTTCAAGATAGGCATTGACCAAAGCCATTTCTGAGTCAGTTACAGGGGTAAGTTGGCTCTGCTTTGGTTTTTTCATCATTTGTAAAGAGTCCCAGTCACCATCTTTGCTTTGCCGCTTATAGGAAGTGTCTTTGCTTGCTAACAACCAATGAAACAAATCAAGATGTTAGGCATGTCATTGGTTACTGTAACTTCATATTACCTAAGGAAGCCTATGGCATGTGCAGATTCACTCTCGGTTGCCATTTGGCAAGCCACCACTTGTCTTCACTCATTTGCAAGTGTTGGCAGCTGCCTGCATTTTCCAGTATGATACCAAGTCTCCTAGAGACCAGAAGGGTCAAATAGATGCTTGACACACTGCTTTTGAAGCTTTGTGGACCCCTGATATAAGATCGGGGGGAAAGGTCGCCAAGATTTTCCAGAGAAGGACCCTTTTTTCCCTTGCCTTGAAGTCTTAAAGATTCAAGTATGTATGTGAATATGATTTGGGTAGCAGGAAACTAAAAAGGATCTTTTCGTTACACAGTGCTGTGCTATAGTTGTCTTCTACCAGCTAGCTCACAAGAACAGAGGGTTACACTTTAAGGAATTCTGAGATGGTTGTTAAAACACAGCCCGTAAGTCAAAATTAAATTATACAAACTTACCATTAAATCCACATATTACACATAAATGTAATAAATATTTGAAACTAATCACTTCCTAATTATTTTATGACATTTTATTAAGAAATAGCTCTCGAAGCTATTTATTTCTGTCATATCTGGATATTGGAAATACTATGTAATGGCGTGTTACTGTGCGTCTATTCCCAACTCCACTCCAGTAACAACATCATGTTGGTAATTTGAAATCAGTGCGGGTGGGATAAAAATCAATGAGCACCAAAAATCAGGTCTTTTTTTTTTTTAATCAGGTCTTGTTCATGGTTTTGTGGATCATCTAGGCTTAATGTGATAAAAAACATGTTACTAACATAGATTACACTTAAAAGTGTCATCCTGTAGCCACTACATTGTGAATCACACCCAAAAATGAGGAAATATCCTTCCAGAGTATTCTAAAACGATTATCCAATTCAGCAGAGAAGTCATATCATTGACAACCAAGGTAAGTTGTAACATACATCTTCCTGCTTCCTTCATCTTACTCCTTAACCTACAGGAAAATAACATTCATATCAGACTACACTTGTTCATCCATTGCAACCATCGGTTGGCTAAAGATGCAAGGGTCTGGCAGAAGTCATGGAAAAGTGTTTTGCCAAAATTGGCGGTCAAGATGGAATTTATCATAAAGTGTATCATACATTTTGTTACTTGTAAATTGTGTGATATACATCCTTCATATCAGCAACATTTCTAAAAAAAAACACGTATATACACATACCCATTTTTGGAGAGCCAGTTGTTAAACATTTACCAGCACACCACTCCTTATAGGTTATTAAAAAGTGTCATATAAAGCTCACAGTCCTGTAGCAACACTAACAATAAAGTTATATGAAAGGCAAGCTGTATGAAGGAGAATACTTGAGGAATGAAAAGAGAGCTTGAGCTCTATTAAAGGTAGCTAAGCTGTCTTGCGCTAAAGCAAGGAGCCCATCCAAGGGTCTGCCACAGCTCTGGGGAGGCCCTTTAACCACACTCGGTTGTCTGATTTCCACATTTAGCACATATTTCTCTCATCATACTCCAATACCAAATATGCACCAGCTCTCACCTTTACTGACTGAGGTGCTGGTCCCACTGTCTTCATCCTTTTTCTTCTCCGACATCTGTTTCAGAAATACACAGATCAGTAATAGCAATCTCAGTTGGTTGTTTTTCACTTACATAAAACACTGTTGCCCTAGATTCTTGGACAATGTCTAATTTTAAACATTCAGTACAATTCAATAAATTCTTATTGAGTTCCTATTATAGTGATCCTCTTGTCTGCTGCCCACTGGAAGACCAGGCTTTGATAGCAGAGTCTGCCAAAATGTTTTGAACCAAACCAAATGGAACAAAGACTTGAGAGAAAAAAATACTGATGAGGATCTACGGGTTATAAAGTTTTCCCGTACTCACAATGTAAAGAAATATCATTTAAACATCATTTAAAAACAGATTTTATAGTACTGGGATTCATTTTTAATTACTTTGTAAAGGACATTTTATCAGGTCACCTTTTTTGTAACCCTTGAAATCTTTACCAGAGTTCATAAACTCAATATCTCCTAAGTCTTTCAGAAACTTTCCTCCAAAATGCAACCATAACATATTATCTGTGAGTGTGGCAACAAAAAAGAAATGGATTTCTTTGAACTGTTTCAATTTCAAATATCCTAGCCCAATACTCCATAAATAAATTTGTCCCATTGTTCAGATCAGTGTCCCATTTTTTGATGCTGAACATGATTTTGCTAAAATATAAATATAAAGCAACTCTTTCAAAATACATCAAAACTTTAGAAATACTCATAACACTTTTGACACATAATAATTCTTACTAGGAATCTATCACCAGGAAATAACCCTCAAAGAGAGAAAACTTTGTGCACAAAAATAAGCTCAGTGTAATTAGGATAATATAAAATTCAAAAATCAAAGTAGGCAATGGTTAAATTATGGTACAATCATAATATATAGTTGTACAAATTATTATAAGAAAAGCATGTCTCAACATGAGGAAATACACGTTATACTATTAAGTTAAAAATCAAGATGCAAATTTGTATATGCAGTATAATCACTAGCTAGCTAAAAATATGAAAAGACTTTAAACAATGTAGACAAGTGTTAGCAATGGTTGACTGTGAGTGAAACAGTGACATTTTTCCTTTTAACTTTTTTTTTTTTTAAAGATTTTATTTATTTATTATTTGAGAGAGAGAATGAGAGACAGCACAAGAGGGAAGAGGGTCAGAGGGAGAAGCAGACCCCCCGCCGAGCAGGGAGCCCGATGCGGGACTCGATCCCGGGACTCCAGGATCATGACCTGAGCCGAAGGCAGTCGCTCAACCAACTGAGCCACCCAGGCGCCCCCTTTTAACTTTTCAGGTTGTCTACAATTGGGGAAAAAATGAATTTTTATAGAAAGTCAAACTCCCTTTGGGTTGAAAATGCCATACGTGGGTATTCGTAACTACAATCGAGGATCCTTGGCCCATTCTTTTCTTAATATCTGATCTCTACAACAGCAGGTAAGTATCTTTAATGAGGTGCCTCTCTGCTTTTTGGGTTACTGCAAACGTTCTCTGAAAACCTTAAGAGTAGAAACCTCTTTTGAGATATCTCTCTTTTAACAATGATTGGGGGGGGAGGCTTATTTTAAATTTAATACTTATAGAGTTAATTATTAAATGATTAGAAGTTTATCCACCTAAAAGTTCATAGTAGTTGGTTATTTCCATGTAATCTGGAGCGTTTTTTTTCTCATTTTTTGTACTTTCTTATAATTTCCACGTTTTCTATAATGCATACTTTTGTAATGGGCAGGGAGAAATGTTTAAAAACATTTATTAGGTTTACATCATTTTTACGGAAAGCTTCCATATTTGACTTGATGTCAAATCAAAATATAATCCCCAAATCAAAAGATTTTGCATCAAGCTAAGTGGAATCGCACGAACTGTGGTTACCAAAAGCATTTTATTAACTATCTGTGTGTGACTCAGTGAGTGAAAACATCAGCAGGGCCTGCCCTGAGGAGTAGGCGAGAACAGTGGAGAGATCTAGGTATGGCTCTGCCTTGAGCCATGGTACAGGTCTGCAGTTTTAACAATTCACTTGACACCTCCTAAAGCTCAGTTTCCACATATGCAAAATGAGAAGCTTGGACCAGTATTGTTTGGAAAAATACCAGCACTAGAAGTCTGAATAAACACTAAACAAACATATAAGCTAAATATAGTATTTATAGTGTCTGAAAGCAAAAGGGTGAATGCATCTTAAAGAGTGGCAAATCCAGAGGAAATCAGTGTGCTTCACATTTGAGGATAATTACCACCACATTTCCATCACGCTTTTACCATTACTTCAAGGTTTGTAAATAAAGGCTCATAGTTTAGCAGAGAAAATGAAGTTCAAAGTGAAAGAAAAATTCCATCCTCCTTGACTAGCTCTCATATGGTTCTCAGATTTCAAATCTGGGACCCTTCACAAGAAGCAGTTCAGCCGATTGTAACTGCCATAGGGGTACAAAGTGAAAGACAAAACCTCTAAGATAATTAAGGTTTTAATCAGCACTGAATAGATTTAATTCAACATTTCAGCTATGCTTTGAAGCAAATGAATTACATGGCAGGAAACCTGGGTCTATTTCTCCTCCATCACTAACCACTTGTGTGACATTGGACAAGTCACTTAATTTCTTTGGGTCTTATTTAAAAAAAAAAAAAAGGAGGGATACTGGTATCTTACTTGCCTACAAAAAGGAGGCTGGACTGCATGCTGTCTTAGGTCCTTGAAGCTCGGGCTCTATGATTCCAAAGAGCTGATGCAAGCAAAGGAGCAGAAGAATAACTTAGACCTCTTAAGTGGTGTTCATGATGAAATTGCCAGGAATCAATTTCAATTTTTTTGTTAATTTTCTAAAGTAGCTTTTCTGGCCAATCCAGACAAATTCAATATACTCAGCTAGGGAGTCTAGGACACATATAAGGGATCACTATTTTAAATCTCCTTTTGGCTAAGTATCTACTTTAAGAAGCATTTAGACTTTAGATGGAACTTCTTCTTAGGGGGAAGACATGGTGAGGGGAAGAGTCTTTGATTATTATAATGGAACCCAGCTGGCATAGACATAACAAAACTCCTCCTTTCCATCTAGAGTTGATGCAGCACTCAAGTCTAGCTGACCATTGCCAGGCCAGCGCTCCGGCTGTAATGCCAAACGATGGTGGTTTGATTAATCATCAGCCTGGTATTAATGGCCAGCAAGGACTCCATGTCAGCAATTTATAAGAGCTCAGTTACTCATAATATGTTGGAGATTCACAGTCCTGAAAAACTGGGCTATCTCATTCCTAAGAGGATGGCATTTTCTTCTGCTAGTAGGTGGTCTAAAGTGGTGACTTTTGTTCTGTTTAGTTTAGTTGAGTTCTGCATCTTATCTTTCAGGAGAGTACATTGCTTCATTCTAAAAGCTCCCAAATCCTACAACATGTATTCTATAAATATGACAACTTTTGTATCTTTGATTAGAATTACGTGGCTACAAAAGGAATTTGGAGGTCATTTACCAGTAGGGAAGTTTATCCCAGCATTACACAGGCTATGGACAAACTGCAAACAACCTAAATGTCTCAGAATTGCAGATTTGTTATGGTGCAACCACAAGGCAAAATTATGCAGTCATTAAGAGTGCTGCTGTGTGAATATGATTTGAGGAAGTGTTACAATATAATATTAAGTTTTTAAAAAGCAGGATATGAAAATATATACAATGCAATACCAACCATGTAAGATCAAAGAGAGATTGAGAGAAATATACGGAGATAGAGAAAAAGACAAAAAAACTAGAATATTACTCCAAAATATTAACAACGGCTATCTCTAGGAAATAGGATTACAGTAGTTTAAATTTTCTTCTTCATCCTTTTCTGTATTCTTGGATGCTCTAGAACGAGATTGCATTATTTTTAAAACTAGAAAACAAACTTTTAAAAAAGTAGTTTGATCGAAGTAAAGTGAATTTATTTTATGGAAAATCCCCTATGATAGAGTAAACATATTATTTTAAATGAAACAGGATATCCTACCCAGACAGAAGCCCGAGAGAAGAACATCAGGACCAATATAATGACAAAATACCAAAGCAGGAAGTTCCCTATTGCCCCGCAAGAGTCATCCTTCCGGCATTCATATTCCTGACTTGGGATGGTAAAACTTAAAGGTATGGGGGGAGGATCCACCTCCCAAAATAAGGAAAAAAGGTCTCCCATGATGGCTTCTTGCTTTGAAAATAAAGCATGCTCAAAAGAATGAAGATGACCGAGAAGTACTTCACTCCATGTATATGACAATTTCCTTGGCAACCTATTGTGACATACACTTCAGTAACTGTGACAGGAACTGACAAACACTTCTTGGATTTCTAAGTTTTTGGAAGATTTACCTAAATTATTTCTATGAAAGTTTATGGTATTTCCCCCATACATCAAAAGGGTGCACTCTACCTTAATCTTTTTTTATTTTCCTGAAACTTGTACATACTGTATTTTCTTTAAATTTTAATGTCTGTAAAATCTAAGACTCTGAGGTATCCATTCTTTTTTTTTTCAGTCTCTTCGTATGTATCATATCACTGTAAATTGACATGCACACATCTAACATGTTATAGACTGAACTGCGTTCCCCCAAATTCATATGTTGAATGAATAACCCCCAATTTGACGATAACCAGAGATAAGGCCTTTAAAGAGATAATTAAGGTTAAAGAGGTCATAAAGATAGGGCCCTAATCCAATATGACTGATGTCCTTATAATAAGAGAAAGAGACACCCCAGGGGTGTGTGCACACAGGAAAAAAAGGCCATGTGAGGACACAGAAGGCCGCCATCTTCAAGCCAAGGAAGAGGCCTCAGGAGAAACCAATTTTGCTGGTGCCTTGGTCTTGGACTTTCAACCTGCAAAACTGTGAAAAAATAAATTTTTGTTGTTTAAGCCACCCAGTCTGTGGTATTTTTTATGGTAACCCTTGCAAACTAATACATAATGCCAGTTAGCAAAACACTATATATAACAGTGTTCCTTCTTAAGCCTTCAATAAGTGCACAGTAACTTAAGGACATTAAGAGAGGAAATAAAGATGTGTCTGTTGTAGGGGTGCCTAGGTGGCCTAGTCTGTTAAGCCTCCGATTCTTTATCCCAGCTCAGGTCTTGATCTCAGGTTGTGAGTTCAGGCCCAGCTTGGGCTCCATGCTAAGCGCGGAGCCTACTTAAAATAAAGAGAAAAAAAAAGATGTGTCAATTTCTTAGGAAAGAGCTATGAGGTGGGGAGGAATCTGGTATTCTAATTTTGACTGTACACTGAAGCCCTTCACTTTGAACAATTTTCGAGTTAGTTCATCTCTGAATCTAAAACTAGAGCAAAACACCATTGCTGCTAAGGCATTCTTAAAAATTATTAAAATCACAGTTTTTAAAAATCTGTTAGATCTTTAAGAGCATAGCATACCTGCCGATTCCATTAATATGCAATACCACGAGGAAACTTAATTTTCTTCTATTTGACCTTAGGAGCATCTTAGGAAAAATTTTGGTCATTGACACGTACACGATATAACAATCCACTAGCTTATTGTGAAAAGGCGTGATGTTTTCATTAGGGTACCATTTCTCCACACCCCAATGGGCGGGTCCCCACGCCCTGCTCCTCGTGGCTGTTGGCCCTGTGCCTTAGGCCTGCATCTTCTCGTCCAGGAAGCTCGCCAGGAGCCCGCCAGTCTCACCCCCTCCAGGCTCGCCGTGCCCCTCCTCCTGCCCCTCTAGTGCACAGGTCGGCTGAACTCCTCCAGACACTAACCAGGGAACTCCACTTTTACAGCCCCGCGCGTGGCTCAGTGGCACAGTGTAGGCGTTTGTATTTGTTAAAAAAAAACAGACTGAACTCCCTGATGAGCCTTTTTCTCAGGGTTAGTAGTTCTTCCGAAGAATATGCAAGAAAAGTAACGACTGGATTTTTTTAAACCTCAAAACCACTAGCAACTTTAACACATTTGGGGCTTTCTTCCTACTGCCGCACCCCTTTTCCAAGGGTATTTAAGAATTTACATCGGGTCAGAACACTTATTTTTGTGAGAAATGCTTTGTTGTCGCTGATGGGTGTCTGGACACGTTACCACATACCCTACCCTACAATTAGCTACCCTGCTTAATAAAATCTGCTTAAAAATGTGAGTCCATAAATACCCTACGGAAGCTAAAATTATATTAATATATAGAAATTCAGCTTGTTACAATTATTACTTTTTACTGCGAGTTCAGAACTTGGTCTGAATTTTTGCTGCTCAGCTTTCTCCCCGCAGAAGAGTGGGAGCCACAAACACTAAAGCTGTTTCCCGGGTAACGCTCAGAGCTCTCATCCCTCCCCCACCCTCCTCTTCTCGCGAGAAGGTTCGTTCTTCCGGTAACTGTAGTCCCGCAAGCCGGTTGCCTTCTCCTTCGCTCTTGGCTTCGCGCATGTGCAGTAGAGAGTGGCGCGAGCCAGCGGCTTTCGGCCGAAGAACATGGTGCGTGTTGGGGGTCATCTTTGTGCTTCCTAGACGTGGAGTCCACGCGGGCCGTGGGATTTCCGTGACTGTGGATCTGCCGAGGGTTCAGCCAAAGGGGGGTGTGGCCAGGCGTCCCAACACCTTTAGTGGAAGGACGAAAGAAGCAATAGGGGTTGCCAAAGTTTGTGCTGGGAGACCCAGGGAGGGAAGCTCTCGGGACTGGGAAGTTTTGACTCGCGGACTGGGAGGCGCGAAGGGTGCTGGTCTGTACTGTCTGAATACGACTCTAGATACGGGAGAGTCTTAGTTTGTCTGAGATGAGGCCTAGCGAAACAAAGGAAATATAAATCCCATGAGGACCCAAACTGCACACTCCCCAGTCGGTCTCGTCCCCTTCACACCATGAGTGTTCACCCTTACAAAACTTAAAATCTTACACTTAATCAGCAACACAAAAGAGGGGTCTCTGGCGTGCGACGGTCCCGAGTGCAGAGTTGTTTACGATGGTAGGCAGTTAATGGCTTCTGCGTGAAGATGTAAGAGGAGAGTCTTTAATGGCTTATAACTAATACGGAATATTTTCTCCCAAAGCTTGGTATTTTGAGTTTCTTAAATTAGCCCTTGGGCTAATCCTTGTGACATATTCCAAAAGCACAATACAGAATAATTGTAGATATAATCACCATCCTTTAAATACAAAATAAGACATTTTTATTCATTGGAAGTATTGTTCTCTGAAGTGCTGAGCCAGTACTCTGTTGATTACAGTATGATGCCAATAAACTTATAATTTAGCGTTCCCTTTTCATATAATAATAGTAAAATGTAAAGAGTTTTGGAAAGACATTTTAAAGATAAGGGGAAATGTGCAGTTTTTAGTTACTGTTATAAAGGACACAAGTTTCTTAAATGGAGAAGTGTTTTTTTGTTTTTGTTTTCATTAATTCCCGTGCTTTTTATTTTTTAATAGATGCAAGGGGAGACAAATCCTAGTGCTTCCCTCATTGACAGAACCATCAAGATGAGAAAAGAAACAGAAGCTAAGAAAGTAGTTTTAGCCTGGGGACTCCTAAATGTATCCATGGCTGGAATGATATATACTGAAATGTAAGTTAATTAGCCAAAAAAAAGTGAAACTTAAAGAAGCCAATGGTGGGTTCCACAGGTTTTGGTGTTTGGATTTGGGGTGTTTGTTGTTGTTTGTTTTTCGTGTTTTTTTAAGATTTTGAAAAGCCTGTCTAATTTTTTCAGGACTGGAAAATTGATTAGTTCATATTATAATGTGACATACTGGCCCCTCTGGTATATTGGTAAGTAATTAATTTTTACTCTGATTTAGATTTACTACCAATGAAAAACTGCATTCATATTTAATTCAATTTAGTATTCATTCCTGCATTCCATAAATATTCGAGTGTGTACTGTGTTCCAAAAACTGGGAATACAGCAGGAAGGGAACAAGGTCCCTGCCCTCGTGAAAGGAACTTTCTAGTAGAGGAAGCAAACAGTACAATTCCAGGTAATCATTGGAGTTCTGTGATGAAAAACAATGTTTGGTGGTGGTGATTTGTATTTGTTATTCTCTCTGAAATGCCTTCCCTACTTCCCTACCATTGCTCTTTCAAGAACAACCAGATTTCTATTCCATTGATGCCTTCCTCAGTTTCCTTGTTACTTCCTCTGTCTGCTTCACTCTGCTCTTCAGTAGTCCTGGGGTATGAAGAGTCTTTATGGCCATTGGAGTGAATTCCATAGTCTAATATACACATTAACCTGGAGTCTGTGATAGGGAGGTGGTGTGGCAAGGAGTTTTGGAATCTGCATACCTGAGGTGTAATCATGGGTTCAATAACTAGCTGTGTGTTCTTGCAAAAGTCACTTGACTTCTCTAGTCAAGTGAAGGTGAAAATGTTTATTGTACAAGGTTGTAAGGATTAGTGATGATATTTTTTTTTTAAGATTTTTTGTTTTTAAGTAATCTCTATACCCAATGTGGGACTCGAACTCACAACCCTGAGATTGAGTCACATTCTCTACCTACCAACTGGGCCAGACAGGTGCCCCGATAATACTTTGAAATTCACTAGTAAATGTCCTATAATAAACATTTATGTAATAAACATTGTATATAGTAGACATTCATTAAATGGTAACTGTTATGAGGAATAAGAAGATAGTTTTCAATTTTGTTGTTAACTTGCTGAAATATGAAGAGTTTTTGTTCCCCCCTTTAGATGGTCTAACCCCCTTTTAAAAAAATAAAAATATTGTTCTTTTCCAGAGCTTGCCCTTGCATCCCTCTTCAGCCTAAACGCCTTATTTGATTTTTGGAGATATTTCAAATACACTGTGGCACCAACAAGTCTGGTTGTTAGCCCTGGACAGCAAACACTTTTAGGGTTGAAAACAGCTGGTAAGTGTTATATCTTTTGCAAAGGTGGGGGAAAGGTTGGCAATAAATCTTTCTCAATTTAATTTGCCCTTTTTATAGACTGAGCTGGAAGGGACTTCTAAGGCCATCTGGTTCAACTATATTAAGCAAGTGTATAATAAATTGTCTTAAGACCAATGATTATCATTCCTATTTGTATAAACTGAGTGGAAATAATATTCAACAGCCTCATGAAAGTTTGTTCCTTTGCTTAATTACAATTAAAATTAAATGACTAACTCTTACGGCATTGAAGCTAATCTCTTACTTTAAAATCTGTGGAAATGGTAAACAACTACTTTGTGTCCTTAGGTTATAATACGTTATGTAATTTAACAACCCAGTCACCCTATTACTTTCTCTTTTCTTGAAAAAGATTCAGTTCATTAAGTCTGTTTTTGTAGAAATTTTATTTATACATGCACACACATCTTTTATTCACTCACTCATTTATTTATTTGTTTGTTTGTTTATTTATTTATTCTTTCCTTCCTTCTAGTTGTACAGACTACTCCTCCACATGATCTGGCAGCAACCCAGATCCCTCCCTCTCCACCTTCTCCTTCAATTCAGGGTCAGAGTGTGTTGAGTTATAGCCCATCTCGTTCACCCAGTACCAGCCCCAAGTTCACCACCAGCTGTATAACTGGATATAGCCCTCAGCTGCAAGGTCTGTCATCAGGGGGCAGCGGTTCCTATAGCCCTGGAGTGACTTACTCTCCCGTCAGTGGTTATAATAAGGTAATGAATCCTTTCTCTTGGCCAGTCACATTATTTTAGTATGGGGAGCTACCTTGAAAATCAGCTCATGAGTCAAAACTCCTCATCTTCTCACTGAGAGAACTGAGGAACAGTGGATAATTGACTTGCCCAAATTGCCCGTTTAAGAGCCAAGAACAGAACCCAGATCCTGATACCTAGTCAGAAGTTCTTTATACTACATCCTAAAATGAAAGAAAAAAAATTAGCTTTCGCAAAGATAATGGACTCTGAGGGTCACCATCTAGAATCTTTTTTTTTTTTTTTTAAAGATTTTATTTATTTATTTGACAGAGAGAGACACAGCGAGAGAGGGAACACAAGCAGGGGGAGTGGGAGAGG